GTGCTCACCTCACCTTTTATCTGTCTCTCTCCCACCTGGACTCTAGCTGTAGTTGTTCTTAATTCAGTGAGTTTAGTTGGCATATATATACACAGTTAAAAGCATAGCACACTATAGGCTACCTTCTAGGGCTTACTTTTTCAATTTAACATAGAGTGTATGATGCATCCACTTCGTTGCATGTACCTGCAGTTCATTTGTTTTAACTGATCTTAAATACTGTGTGTGTGAAAATAACACAAGAGAAGGGTAAGCCAGGATTCAGGATGCTGGTTACTTCCTGTGAGAAGAGGCCAAGGGCAGGATAAGGAAAGAGGACACAGTATGTCACTGTCAATATTCCTGTTATGATGCTGGGTGATAAGTTCATAACTGTGTCTTATAATATTAATTTTAATACGTAAATACCTCTGACAGGCACCTATGATGAGAATGTGTCATGAACCAAGACATACAATGGGTAAAATTACATCATTATTGTTATGTAATCTTGTTATATTATATATTAATGATAATCTTACATTATCTGTTATGGGTTATATATTATATAGATGCATGAATTATATATTATGTATATAAACACCTGTACATGTATTATATACAATCTGCTAATAAATAAACAGAGTATAATATGCTAGTATATCTTCTATTATGTGTTATTTAATAAATAATAACATACTATATCCTGTTATATGACATGGCACATAATCTTTAATAAAATAAGAAATCTGTCAATTATATTGGTAATCAGTAAAATTTAAAAAAAAAGCCCGCAATTTTTAACGCCGACACCGCTCCAGCAGTCACTGTCTTTTCTCTTCCCTTTTATGGTCGAGGTCCTCACAGTGCTGTCCGTTCCCCCTTTCATCTCCTTATCCTGAACCTTCCTCCTCCTCCCTTCCCATGCTGCCTTCTGCCCCGGGATCCCTCTAGTCACCAGCGGCCTCTGGGGCACTGATTTGCGGGCATGGTCTCAGGCCCCAGCTCACCTGCCTGTCTGCCAACTCTGCCACCGCTGTTAGGGGCGGGGTGGGGGCAGAGTGCTCCTCTTATCCTGGAAGAGAACACAGCACAGACTCAGTGACCAGCAGCAGGTGTGACCAGGACCTGCGGGACTGGGGGAGAGCCAGACTGTCTGCATCCAGACCAGGGGGCACTTGGAGTGTGAAGAAACCCAGTCCTCACTGCCCCTGAAGTGAGGAAAACACCCTCAGGTGTGTTAAAGTGCTTATGACCTAGGTCTGTTGGCTGGAAAGGACAAACGGGCCCCTAAGTGGAGGGTAGTTGATGTTCCAGGCCCCACGAAAGCCCTAAGGGCTGGCGGGGGAACCAGGCTGGACGCTCCACTGGACCCAGTGCCCCCTCGGGGGTGGGGCCTTCGGGAACAAGCAGAAAGCCCCCGGTCTCTCTGGGGAAGGGGGCAGC